GCGTGACTTGCTCACGTTGATTCAGGGACATCATAACTTGCGAAACTCAAAGACAATAAAGAACGACCTAAGAATGCCAACCAATGGCAAGCTAAGGTGATAAGGATGGATGATTTTAATACACACAAAGCAAATGGAGAACAAGTCTGATTAAAGCTGAGTAAAGCGCCTAGAAAATAGAATAATAAATAAACTGCAGTGAGGGGAAGAATCGAGACTAAACTTTGGAGGAGATTACTCACAGTTATACAAGGAGTGGTAGCTACCAAATGCCGAGAAAGGCAATATGTGGCAGTTTCGTCCTTTCAAGATGTGTCACTAGTACGTAGCCCAATGATTGGGCTAGAAACTGCTATCCAAAACTTTGGAGCAAGTGGTTAATATCACGCAATCATAGAGGATGAGTGGCAACCGCAGTAACTAGCTGTGATCCAGCGCGAAACTTATCCTCTGTGGCCACAGACATAAAGGTGATGCAGAAATCCCAACAGCAAGAAGGTGAGGCAAAGACAAAACCGGTACAAACAACACCAGGTAAGCCTTGTCGGGAAGAACGAAGCCAGACTGCAGTGCGGCGTAAGAAAGATGACAAAAGTGTGATCTGATGGCTTCCTATGTAGATGGACTACTCGTGGAGCAACTGGAAACATCAAGACATAGGTAAGCTAGTTAACTGTAAGGCAGTCAGATAGTGCACTATGCAATGCAGTGGGCGACCGCTGTCTCTTAGAGGGTTTCATCAACAATGCACAGTGCCGAAATTCGGGAAGTGTCAAAGCTGTGAATATACTCTTCAGTGGTAGATACTGCAGTCCAGTTTGATTAAGTCCCGTTGACCGACTATGATAGAAATGTTTAGGTAGAAAAACAGAAGGGATATCGAGGTGATTGCGAACAAGGAACACCACAAGTGGCTGGGCATGCCAAACAGAACAATGGCTGTGGAGCTTGTGATTACTGACTAAATGCTATTTCACGACAACAACGAATACGAAAATCCCCGGTTGTATACCTTGGGTTCACTTCTTTTAGCGGATCCAGGGAGGGGATCGGATCACCCAAAAGTGCTGAGATCGTGTGACATGCACTTTCAGCAAGCGAATCAAGGTGATAACCGCCCTAAAAGCAAGAAAGGTAGCGAAGGTTTTTCGTTCGTAATAAAACAGAAACATCATATTTGAACAGCAGCGATGCACTGACAAACAAATAGTAGCAGAAGAGTGCTTTAGGGGGTAGGAGAAAGTAAATATGTGTAAGTGGGGTAAGAAAATACACCGCATGCCAAATAATAGGCTGCCGGAGGTAGCCGACTAGTGGTCCAAAAGTTAACCGGTGTGATGATGTTAGGCGACGGAATGCAAATGAGTACAGAGATGAATAGCACAACAGCGATCAGTACAGAGCAATGCGGGATTTAATGTTATTTTAGGGAGAGGATTCATCGCAGATAGACCCTGCGAGACAGCCAGCACGCATACAAGAAAGTACTAGGCGGCCCTTTCATAAGGTCATGGGTTTGGATTCGGCGGGTGCGCGCTAGCGACGAGTCCAAACAGGAAGAAACGGCCGTCCAGTGCTTTCCGGGATGTGTGGTGGCTGTCTGGCTGAGTGCCAAGCTGTAACCAATGTGCTCAAAAATAGCAATTATTGTTTACGCAAAATTCGACCAGTAAAATAGTAGGAGGTTAATAGAGGAATTCGCGGTAACGTAGTGAGAGATTGACGAAATAAATTAATCGATAAGGTGACCTACAATATAAGGTAGGGTATATGCAAACAGAAAAATAGTGTGAACGTTATCGGTAGTTTAATAAGGCTGCATCACTGGGGACCAAGGCAGTCGTTTGTACGGAAACTGAACAGATAATGAAGTGTGAACCATGCTCAATTTTTATCAGAAACTCAGACATGGTTACTTAGGGCTCAAATGCCTAGGTCGAGGCTTTGCACTGCTCGACCAACACTGCTGAAGCATAGCAACAGGAGGGAATGGCCACTTAGTAAATTTTCGGAGTGCCGAGAGTCCCATGGTCAAGTGCAGATTTGATAAGCTACTTGAATGCCGTACAGATCGCTTAAGAGTATCGGAGAGCAGCACGCTCAACCTTTAGCTTCCATGCCGATGTAGGTCTAAGGGACTCACGGGGAATGGTTACCATATAGTATGGAATCCTTGTCTACGTTCGATATACATATGTAATGTCCCCGATATCATTGCTTCATTAGGGACCCAATTAGCAAGACGGTATCCAGAGCTTTTGCGTTTGGTAGATGTTCCAAGTAAACTGGGTGAGTTGACTGTCACAGCTCGTCGAAGGAAAAGATAGGGTGGATGCGCTTATGGCGTTGATCACTCCCAACCCTGCAATCCAGGACAGGTTTCGTCCCTGCTCGGAATCTTCAGAAAGAAATAGCTAAGTACGCATAATCAAGGGTTGTCATAAACGTGACGGACGCCACTTCGCGCATCGCTTTCGATAACTTGTAATAATTTTCGTATTGTAGAATATCGGTCTGCCGATAGATGACCGTGTCGATCTGAAGATGATGGTAATGTCAGACGCGGTACCCAGCTGTAGACGTAATGAGGACTAGTAATAGTGACGGTGATTAACCAACGAGGTGAAGAAATCCTCCATATGCAGTCGTATAGATGACGTTTGACCCCCATTTGATTCGGGGTTGATGCAACGGTTTTCACTGGTTGCCAGGACAAAGAAATCGGGTGGTCGATCCGCCATGTGCTTCTTTGTGGTCTTTTTTGTGGCAAACAGTGGACTGCTAACTAATGAACGGACAGTTTCTAGCAAAATGCCATCTACCCCAATTGCAACAAACATGTAAGGGTATCTGTTGGGCAGTGATATATTCTTCTTTCGGTATTTGGATAGAAATTGCATCAACCAACGCGATGTCTGATTCCAGCTGTCTTGATTTGTGGGTCATTTTTATGTTGACCAGACGTTGACACTCTGTAGTAATGTCCTTAAGGGTGGACTATGAAGATACATCCAGTTTTGAATAACAGACTTGTGCTGATTTCTGTGTCAGTTACAGAAGTGAAACATGGCACATGAGTGGCTTGGACTGATCGTCTGCAAACTGTTTGAGCTCGAAAAGTCTGTACGAATGATTCACTCTACTCATGCAGTTGAGTCATCATAAGGTTTATGTACCCAAATGGGCGCACTTTTAGCAGTGTACATCATTTACTGCAGACGGACTAAATTGGCCTAAACAAAAATGCTAGGCTTTTTTTTTACAAAAGATAGACAAAAAGGAAAAGGGCGCACTGTTTTCACTCGAGTAAACGGCATGGCTTTCCAGAGCGACGATCGCACTCGCTTCCACACAACAGCATTGCGAACACAGGCAGAGTAAACCCTACTGTTTACGGACAGTGGAAGCTTACAACGTCACAGGTGTTTAGATTAACAAAAGCTGATCGGGCCTTTAAAATACGAAGAGAAATCTCTCGTCTAATGGTGCCATAAGCGGAAACACAGCTTCCAAGGTAGATGAAGCTATCCACTTGTTCAATGTGCATGCTTCCAAGAGTCAGCATTGGAGCAGGTGGATGCCACTCATGGAGTAGGACTGTGTGTTTCACAGAGGCAAAGTTACGTCACACTTAGTAGGTTCATAACCAGAGGGTTATCACCAAGCAAGGCAATATCATCAGCGTGGCCCATGCCAGCCGTGAGTTTGCGTTGCAGAAGATTTACGCCAGAACCTTGGAGACCTTCCAAGACGCTAACTAAGAGATCGGTAACTGTAAAATTGAAGAGAAACGGAGAGATGGGGCATCTCTGCCGTACACGACTAGTGGCGGTGATAGAGGGAGAGAGCTTACCGTCAGCCCTCACTCTGATCGAGACATGGTAGTGTACATTTCGGGTACCCTATGCTTTGCAGACAACGCTATAAAGCAGACCTATTGATCGAGTTGAACGCAGCTCGGAAGTCCAAAAATGCGACTATAGTACGCTGGCGATAAAAAGTGACGCGGGTCGAGGAGCTGGCGGAGCGTAAACATGTGGTCTATACATCTTCGACCGGGGCGAAAACCAGCTTGTTTTCTACGGGAGTGTAGTTTACGAATCGGTGTTAGCCTGCAGAGTAGAGTGGATGCTAATGATTTGGGGAGGCTGATTCTTCTGTATTTGGCGCACAAAGCGCGGGCCCCCCAGTTGAAGATCGGTACGATAATCGACTCACTTTGAAAGTACAGAACCCTTTCTTCACATCAAATCACAGAGAACAGAGCGACTAACTGATTGACAATCGCCTCACCACCGTACTTAAGAGGCCTCGGCACACATCTGTAGAAATCGAGCACAACTGTCGGTTCGCAGGGTGTCGAAGCCGAACCGGCCTCTAAAGGTGTTGTTCACATCCCGAAAGACGATATAGTTGAGTATTCATGTCACTAGCAACAAGCATGAGGTTAGTATTTTTAGCCATAGGGAGAAGAGATGAAAGATGATTATAGAAATCGACCTTAACACCAACGGAACTGCAGGCGATGAAAAGGCACCTTGGCTTCCGACAGTGCTTATCAACCTTAATAAGGTTTCGAAGTCGAACCAATCACATGCGATTGTTCACTGGTATCCAGTCGAGTAGAATGTCTTCGGCATGTTTACTGAAGGCGATACTGAAAGCAAAAATAACTTGAGCGATTAACTCAGTAGCACCAGAGACGTGAAGAGTGTAGTCATGGTAACAAATGCAGCACCAGGGAGTCGAAGATTCGTCATGACGCTGTTATCTTGTATGCGTATTACGAGGACAAAAAAACCTATAGATAACAAAATAGTGAAGAGTGGGAGTTGGTGCTGCCTGTTGACCGATGTGACCCAGTTCGTGGACGTTAAAAGAACCCGTGTGAAATGAGACCCCCTAGGTGTGATGAACGAGCTACTTGTATCGATGGCAGCAGTTGCGAGGTCAGCGACATTCTCTCGCTCAATAGACGGGGAAGAGGAGAGTTGAAAGCAGAAAGACCGTAACAAGAAGAGGGAGTGTTGTCAGCGAGATGGAAACTGCAGATGATACTATCTGGGTGCCTATACCGAGAGAGGGATTTAGTTCGAAGAGCCCTAACCCTGACATTTTGCTCAAGAGTGTGACCTATACTGCAGTGCGGAACGAGTACAGTCCAGGGTGATTGCAGAGACCGAGACGGATCTAATTGGGATATACTAGATGCAGAGTTTGAAGATTTAGAACATTCCACATTCTCTTTTCGACACTAGTAAGTTACGCACATTTGACCACAGTCAAGCGCACGTGGGAGCTGGCAGGTCTGCATCAATTTGATCGGAGACTGTCTGGCTTAGGGAGGGCGGTAGCAAGCCACTGAGCATCAGGTGGTGCTCTCCCAATATCAGAGACAATGCGAGGCACTCGCACACTACGTCAATCAAGAGGGAAACCAGACAAAACACTAGTAGCTATGTTTGGTGTAGAGTTGCTGCAGTGTTCCCCGAGCTGGGCAGTCTGCAAGCCAACGGCTGCCTTCCACTAGCTTCTGCTAGGAAACCGCTTACTACCACAAACTGATGATGTCACCTCAACTGGTGATGAAACTGTTACAAGCAAGTTGCCCAGCTCGACGGATACCGCAGAATCCAAATGAGCTGTGAATTTGCAACGCATCATCTGGTGAATCCTATAGCTGTTTTAAACGGATAGATGGCCTCCCCCACCGATCTCGGAAGAGAATGCTGAGATTAAGCTTGCCTGACGTCTAATCATTTGAGTTATATGCCTTGAACGCATTTGGAAAATGTTAACCAGAGTAGCTCAATGGGTCACAGAGATACGCGAACCATCACATTTAGTTAAGGTTCAGTCTCGTAGCGATGGCTTAAAATGATACGCAGCTTGTGACTCAACAACGTCCCAGAAATGTCCGTTTGTAACTGTAAAACTGTGTAACTCGTCTTGTATGCTGAGATTACCTCCTCCGCACCTTATGAGATGCACATCAATTAGGCAGTGTTTAATCCGGCTTTATGCTCGTTGTCACAGAAAACGAAAGGTCACTCGGGAAGTACGCCGAACTTCGCTGTAATCAATGGAAATTCATTGTCCAGTGTTGCGTCCAGGACTTCTAATCGCAGTGCACAGCGCCGCTCGTGAAGCTCTGGCTTAGTGATCAAGGCGTAAGCTGTCAACCAAAGTGTATATCACAACTCTTAGCTCAGGCTATATCAACCGACCTGGCCCCTTAGATTAGCCGACATAAAGAGGCTGGTAACTTTCGACCACCGGTGCCCTCGCAGTTTGACTCATATCTGGTGGGAACACCGCGTGAGAAACGAGCGTGTTCGACGCCTTGTTTACAGCACAGGAAAAGGAAATAAACTGCTCATTACCGTTGTTTTACGCACCAAACCCTGATGGCTCTGTCACTTGTTACGCATGCCAACCCAGCGACTCGCGCGACATGTGTGGATGGAAGAGAGGTGGCCAAGCGATGCCTTGGTAGAGAGGAATGAAGGCCCTCACTTCGAAGCTGACCTCGGTTGGAACGTCCCGGCTCCCTGGTTGATGCCCGAAAGACGATGGACGCGCCTGACTGGATACACTTTCCGATATGGCTAGGAGCTGACCTCAATGGCGTTTCTGTTGTGTTTCTTTGTCCCTCCCCAAACCCTAAGCCGCCCACTCCGACCACGATCTCATTTCTTAGCATAATATAATTTTGTATAATAGGGTTTTGTTGCATAGTAGCCGGCCGGTAGCTTTTCGGTGCGATGCCCATCCGTTACTGGTAGCTCAGCTGGAATGCAACTGTCACACGTTTTCTTTTTTTCTTTTATATACTGCGACATAGTAGCTAATGTGTTTTCCACATATAGCTAACGTGTATAATGACTATGATAATGATGGATAGACTGATCTTAACCAAGACATCGAGGAAATTTTCGCTTCGCCTGCTTCGTAAGTCAAACAACCGTAGCATGAAAGTCTATGTCGTAGAGCGTAAAAGTGACAAAAGGCCGTCGAAAGCCGCGAACGATAGAGGTAATTAGGAGAAAAGGTTATGTATGAGGGAGATTATGTAACTGTCCACAGCAATGACAATGCATAGTGGACTGACAGAATCGAGTAGGGTTATCTGGCCCATTTGCTGGGGATGAAAGATAACCTGCAACAATAGGCGGGATTACGTAAAAAGCTGCTCACCTCTAGGGCAACCACGATATTGCCATCAGCCAGACTCATGAGCTTATGAGTTAGATGAGCGAACAAAGGTGGACTGACTTCCAGTTGACCCTGCATCGAATAAATGGAGTGTTCAATAAAAGAAACATGAGAAAAAGGGAATTCCTCGATAAAAACGAGAGCGTTGATGTTATACTTACTAAGGGACATCCGTATGCGCAATCGTAGCCAGCCGAGACCAAGACCAAATCAGGGTCAAACTGTGAGTAGAAAACGAAGCATTGATAATAGAGGCAAATGGGTCAAAACAGGCTGTATTGGAGCAAGTCTACACTCACCTCATAGGCAACAGGCAAAATCAATCGGTGGAAGATGGCCAGGTAGTCAGCGTCACCAATGTTCTTCTACAGGTGCAAAAAGAAAAGGAAACGAACTCATACGTGTGACAAAAGCGTTAGGTGCATAAACACATGCGAGAAATAAATATGATCGAGGCGATGGAAAAAGCCAAAAAAACGGCTGAGGTAGCAGACTCTTCATTTGTTGAGCTCTGAAACTCACGCGATCAACGCTTGTCATGCTTGTATGAATACTGGCTAACTTGTTTGAAGTAAACAGTAGTGTGGAAGAGATGTGATATGCAAATGCAATGTGGACCGCGATTTAGGTTGATGAGAAATTCGATCGTTTCAAGCACTGGGGGCGTGTTTCAGAAACACGTAAATGTGAGTTGCTGTCGTCTCCCAACATTGTCTTTCGCCACAGGTTTCATGCTACTTTGCACTAGGCAAGTAGAGATAACATAACCGCGACTCGAACAAGGGAAGCGGTGATGGCAAATGGGCAAGAGTGGTCATGAAGTGCAAAGGAAGTCGTAGCTTTGGGGGCCAGCCCCGTTTTCTGCACGTCATTAACCTGTATGGCAGTGGAGGATAAGTCGCGCTGAATCGCAGTTAGATATCAGTCATGGCGGTCTGCTGCCGTCGCCCATGGCTCAGTCGCATAAATCGCTGACTCGCAAGAGTAAGGTCGTGGGTTCGAAAGCGGCAGGAATCGGTGAGTGCGCGCCACTGACGAGTCCCAATAGGACGAAACGGCCATCTAGAGCTTTGCTGGATGTGTGGGGGTCGTCTAGCTTGGTCTAGTTGCGATGAATTTTTTCAAAAATATGCAGTGCAGTGTTAAGATCGGGTAACATCACATGCCTATCTGCTCCAGACATGATCCGGGGAACCGAAGTTAAGAAAAGTATATTTCCAAATGAAGTGCGGTCCGAATTCAGACTGCATGTTGTAAACCATATATGTGGGATGCACTCGAAACAAACCAACGCAAAGCCAATACCAGTTAATATTATCGACAGAAAAGCAACAAATGATATTTGCTTGAAGGACGCTCATGGTCGTGGTCCCAGTAATCCAGCCATTGCACGAATAGCAATGAGGAGAAACCGCCGTATTACTGTAAAGATGAAGCAAGTGGTGTGTAAGTATCAAACTGAGGAAACAACCAAAACGGATAGGTAGGAGAACACCGGAGGAGAAGTACACATAGCCCCACAGTGCAGTGTAGACCTTAATGGAGAATGTGATGAGACTGGTGAGTAATGGTGGTGAGCAAATCCCAGTACAAAGCAGACAGGAGAAACAATGGCATGGATCCAACACAGTCACCAGCAATGTCTGTGAGTCGAGCAGCTAAGAGAAATGTGCTGCGCAGTGGACATCTCTTCCAATGACGAGTTTGATGACCAGGTGCTCTAGGTTACCGATATCACGGCACCCGGGCGTTAAAAGAGATGAGGTTAAGTGTGCATCGTCTGCAAGAGATCATAGTGGATCAAAAGGACTAATTGAAGCCCAGGAACAATTTCCTTTCGAACAATCCATCACAGCTTCCACTATGAACTTTAAATGATAAATATTCGCCATTCGACTTGGTGTGGCCACATGCAAAATATTTTGATGCAGCGGAATCATCTACGGTTACCCAAACAACAGAGCTTTAAAGTATTTTCCGGAATAACGTTGATTTATTGCGTTCCGGTTTGCCGGAAAAAAGTTTCAGCGTTAGAGTAGTGTTACACCGCTCAGATACAACGAACAACCGAACGTGGAACAAAAGCAATGCGTGCCAAATCAAAAATAGCCGACTCGGTGATCTCCCAGATAACAGTGATGTCTCACCAAGACTGATGGTCAAAACGGCCAGGTCGTTCTAAATACGTACCGAGCATGTAGCATCAAATGAACTTCAGCCTTGTACACAACAATTTTAACGGATAGAGCGAAATTGATTATATATATATATATATATATATATATATATATATATATATATATATATATATATATATATATATATAGAAAGTGTAAGAAGTTGTTCCTAAATTAGGAACAGATCATTGTAGTCAAGTCAACAATGCACGTTATTCATCCAGGAAGAGTGAATAATCAGCTACAACACACACGTTAAGGGCACAAATAAAAAGACTAATGTATGTGGTGCGCCATCAATTCAAAAATGTGGCAGTGGTGATATCATCGATTCAGTCTGGCAATAAGGTCTTGTTTGACTACATTTTGATCCCTCAGAAAACGTGACAAATAGGGAACAACTGACGTACCGCATGCCCGTGTGCAGGCATAAATGGCTTTGTAAGTTTGTCTGGTAGAAGAAGTCTAGATACATTCCGACAATGCCAAATGCAGAGGGTGACTGGCATCAGTATCTTGGAAGCCAGTTTTACGCAGGAGCGAACATGAGTACACACAATGATGTCGATAAACACTGGCATAGAAATTCCGCTGCATCGAGCAAGATGCTTCAGCGACCTGTTGATCGTTTTGAATTGCCCGTTTAAGAGTCTAGGAAATAGCATAGATGAGCAATATGTCCAGTGCGGTCTTACGTAAGCGGTGACAAACCGGAGAATTAAGTAACGAGGCACGGAGGATGACCTAAATTGTGAGATGCAGAATGTTGGTCTGACTTCAGTGAATGTTTCATTCACGTGAGATCCCGACAGTTTAACTCCGAGATACTTCACTACTGTACAGGAGTATAGACTGACACTGTCGATACTAAGAAGCGAGGTGTGCGTCAGGAGCTATTGATAACAATTTTCCTAGGCTAGCGAAAAAATAACGTGTGTACACTTTGATGCGTTGTGTGAAAGAGAGGAGAATTTGAACCAGGAGTTGAGGTTGTCCAAGAAGCATTGCAAATTGGCTGATGAATTTGTGGTGTGACTGAGCACACCAAAGATCACGTCATTAGCATACTTCAGTAGGATGGCTTCCTTTGCAGCGGGAATGGAGTTAATGTAGGTGGAAGAAAGAAATAAGGACAAAATAGCCCCCTGAAAAATACCTGCGTTTGTGGTGAGTGAGGAAGAGCTTTTCCCACCAATGTTTGTAAACTGCGTACGGTTGACAAAGTAGTCTGTAAGAAAATATACTACCGAAGCTTGGACTCTGGAAACTAGCAGATCGTGTAACAGCAGCTCGCGGTTTACACAACCAAATGCATTGCTGTAATCTAGGAAGCAGATCCGCGTGGGTTTGTTTTTTCTATCGAGTAATGAAAGCACGAAGTGTACAAGACAGGCTAATGCATCCAAAGTAGATGTTGAACTGCGATAGGCGAACTGAAAAGGATCATCTGAGTGGGTTTAGACAACCATTCTTTCAAGTATGATTCGTTCTAATATCGTCAAAGCATCAAACGTGTAAACAATGGGCCGGTACAGGTTCCGTATTTTGTCACAGGTGTAATGCGAACGCTTCACCAGCAATCGGCTATCTTGTGCCGATGTGGGCACATGATGTAGAGCTCAGAAAAAGTCTAAGACATTGACACATTCCTTGTGGACTACAGGAGATAGTCCGTCTGGACCAGGCGCTTTGCACGACTGTATCAGTGTTAATTCCTTGTGAACTGTTACACTAGCGATGGGTGGTGAATTGCAATGGTAAAGATGTAAGTTCAATGCTGTATCATTTATATGACCACAGAAGTTGCGGTCTAATTCCTCCACATAGAGAGCCTTGTGTGTGACACTTCTGACGACTGTACTCAGGTTCTTCATCATTTTTCCTCTTTCTCGGCAATTATTCTTTCCAAATATAGTATGGACATAAATATGGTTGAAGGGGAACATGTCATTTTTATATCAGTCGATAAAAACTTTACTGAAGCGGCGTCTTTGCACTTGTAGGCTTTTTCTTTGAGTCTGAACAGTCTTTTAAGGCACGGAGATGAAAACCTATCCGTGAATGAAAATGGTTTCTAATGAACAACAAATATCGAAGCAAAAGTTCAAGTAGCAGGTTAAATGATCACAGTATATCGATACATCAGAGTTGTAAAACACATTGAAGTCTGAGGAGGCAACAGTTTCGCGTAGTAGCTCAATGTTTCGGGGAAGACATTGTTATTGCGTAAACTTGCAATCTGCAGAGAATAACTTTTATGATTCGTTCTGTCAAAGATTATGGGAGACAACTTTATGGTGGCAAGATCTGAACTTCCAAGGGTGCTTTGGTAAAAACAGAAAAGTTTTTAAGTCGTTGACAAAAATTAAGTGCAGGGTTGCTAGTAACCTTGTTGCAGACTACACGAAGTTCTTCAATCCAACATTGGTAATAAAGCTAGTGTCGAATCTATTGAAGTCACCGGCAAAAACACAGAGAAAAATCTAGATGTTCAATGACGGTAGTTGTAAAATCGTCATAAAAGTTTTCAGCATCAGCTATGGGACAGCTGGGAGAAATATAAATGTTGGCTAGTAGAATCGAACCAGAAGCACTCAAGTATCGCGGTCAGCGTTTCACAAACAGCTAATGCGCCGCGTGTAATGACGAAAAATAATGTTTGTCGACGCACCATGAAGAATTTATGTGTGTGATAACGCCACCGCCACGGTGCCTGTGTGTACATGGGCGGCCAACGCGATGAAATGTAAATCCGTCAAGTGCCACAAATGTATATTCTACGACGTCATGCAGCCAAGTTTCTTGTAGCATTATGACACCAAGTTGGGAGTATTTGTGACAGCCTGTGGTACTTTTAAGATCCTCGAATTTGTTCCCAAGCGAACGGATGTTGGCGCTGATCACAATAGGTGTAGCTATAGAATTCAAGACTGGTAGCTCAGGTTGTTCAGATGGCAGTTGAACTGTTCGCTGAGCTTGGCAATTTGGTTGCAAACGTTTCGTCACCAATCGAGGTGACATCATCAGTGCGTAGTTGAGTGGCGTGAAGTAGAGTAGAGGAGCCTCGGTGAAAGTGCGCTGAGCGTGGTGTGTGTGCGTTTTATACCGCCGTGCTTGCCAGTGGAGGTGAGCCATCCTACTGGTTGGGATTTCGATCCGCCTTCAGCCTGGTTGATGGGCAGATGACCTCTGACCTTGACTCCTTGTGTTTCGTGGTCTTTGTCTGGTTGCGCTTGTGAGCGAGTCTGTCATCAGTTCTGGTTGGTTAGCCACACGTTCCACCGGATTCAATCGATTGAGTTGGCGGTCTTCCGCCAGGAGTGTTGCGTACACTGCGTCCAGTTCGATGTGTCGATTGATTGAATTCGTTGTAGAGTACCAGGCTTCCAAAAACTCCCTGGCGTGTTTGTACTTCCATGTGCAAGGATCTTAACATTCTCCAGGTCGAAATGGTGGTCTTCTTGATCTCATACGGCCGAGTATTTTCCTTCAAAGCGCAACCGGCCACCCTGCGTGATTTTTTTAGGGGAACTACATCGTTTTCCTTTGAATTCTCTTCCATTTGTCCGTTACAGACTGACCAGGAAAAAGCGCCAGGTTCTCATTCGTGAAATCGCGCAAACTTTTTAAAATGTCGCGAGCGTAGGTAATCCGGGCGCGATTCATGCGTACGGATATGATTATGCTCTTGCAGGAGTACATGTTTATGCTAATCCTAAGCCCTTTAGATATTTTTTGGACCATCCTGGAATAATTCAGCAGATGAGAACATGGATGATGGATCTAAGAATCTGTCGAGTTTGGTATGGAATGACGTGGGGTTTTCACATGTCCTGATTTGCCGTTGGTAGGCTGTTCCACAGGACGGCGTATCTGATGAAGAAAAAGTTGGATCGCCCTTGGTAACCACAACATAAATTTTGTGTTAACGAGTCTGTGATGGTTACTGTGTTTTATTTCTAAGTAATGTAGGTAGGAGTATGTTTTCTGATGCAACAAACTAGAACAATAGAAAATCACAGAGATTTACTGACAAGCACAGTGATGATTCGGTCACTATAAGTGATGAAACAACGAAGACAGATGCGAAAATCAACTGCTTCAAAACGGATACTCAAGATGGTGGTACGGGAATCCAGACCACCAGCAGTAACTACGCTCAGAAAATGCAAAGCATACGACGAGACATGTCAAACTGGCGACCCGTGAGTCGTATTCAACACCTTGCAAGCACGCATGTAGTAATCGAATCCCCAACGAAGTAACTGTGCGTGTCAGTAAAGCGTCATAGACGCAGGCCTCACGTGGTTATTCTACGGAGGCCGCAGTGACAGGCAAATCCGGTACCGGATGCCAATAACCATGTATGTTGCGTACATTATGCTTCAGCGGAGTCGGTCTAGCGTGACTTACAGTTAGCTTTTTCGCATTACACTACATCTGAACTATTTCATTTCATTTGGTTTGTTCAGTTACTTTTGTCCTTGACATATGAGCTGTTACTTCCCGCGTTCTTTCCCCCTTTGTGTTCGATGTTAGTCGATTGATATCCCCTGATTCACACTTACAGTTGCCCAAGATCCACCTAATATTAGGTCAAAATTCATACACTTTTTGATTTGATCAGTTCTGTCACTTTGCTGCACATTTACACTGTCCAGTCAGCATGTCCAATTGCTTTCATATTCTTTCGTATTCAAAGCGGTGCATCATGCTGAGATTGATGTTGTATACTTCATGTTTCTTCATATTATAGTTGAACTACACCTACGTAAACCCAAACTAGATCATCTCAGCCTTGATAGACAGTATTCCAGAGATCGAGACCTGCTACCTCCACCTGATGAGATCAAACAAGGTCTGACCGCATCGTGGTGTGCAGTGTCCTCGGGCGAGCACCACCCAATTGCCATCTATGCCACTTTATTTAATTTGCTCCGTTCTGTCATTCTGCTGCATATTTCGTGCAAAGTTTCCTCCAACATATGTGTTGGTTGTTTGATATCCACGGTGTGGCTGCGCTTGATGTGAATGTTCAAAAGGTGCCTACCTGTCTAACACCCTGTACGAGCGATTATTGGCTCCAGGAGACTGCTAATCTTTGTTAGGGGAAGGGGGGTGCATCGTCTCTTGTGATTGTGACAACAGAAGTGACCTATGCGACCCCTGAGAGGTTTTCAGTTTGAAATGCCTGCACCGCATCATCTGCGTACTTTGGCCCTATTAATCAGCCGATTAGAAGAATCTGTGTCTCAGAGAAAGTATAAATCACAGATTTTAGTGACTGAAATGTCGAAAACAAAAGGAAAGACAAATCAGGCAGGCTAATCACGAACCGTTTTCGTTTAGTGGCCACTATTGTCACCTCATCTATACGTATTCAGTAATAATAAAATAATGTCAGCTGTATGTCGTAACGGCGTTTCGCTGCCGTGGGACCACCACCAGTCGCACGCGGGCTGAATATACCGCGAGGACGCCCACCCCTACGCGGATTCGAACCCGCGCCGCAAGGTGCGATATTATCGTAGGAGAGCTCAAGCATAATCAACAATAATCTCAATGCTGACAAATTGTTGAAGAAATCTAACTACTCTAGTGGCCTACTAAAGTAACGAAGATGAGACACTATAGTATGGCTCCGCTATGTAATGTTGGGGCAAGGTCTTGAATACAAATCAGACCACCGTAAGAAAAAACGTTGAGTGCAACAGTTGATAGGAGGAAGTTAACTCAGAGAAGCAAACTTACATCATTCAGGGCGATGTTAATGTTAAAGCCACGGCCACGACCGCTTCCAATAAAGTCAAAGTTGGACTCGCGTAAATTGGGCCAAAAGCGTTGGTCATCATAACGGTGAATGGAGATGAAGAGCACACTGCAAAAGTTAAAAGTGAACCATGGAGATGTCATGACAGGTAAAGGCGTAAAAGAAGAGAGACGCAGGCATCATCGTAACGAGCGTTGAAAAATGTCACTGAAAACTGCTGCTATGTAATCGATTCAACCAGATCAGAGAGCGAACACGTATTGTGTAGTTTGCAGATGTGGCCGCACATAAAATAATAGCCACAACGTTTGAAAGTTCTCTGTCTAGAGACATATTAAGGGTGTCTGAATGTACACCGGCAAAATGGATAGTGATGTGCAATCGAAGGACTAGATGATAAAATCATAAATCTGTGAAAAGATTAAAAATAGAGATAAGTACAGAAAAGTTCAAGTACCGTTAAAAAATGAACAGCCGTGGACTTGAGTAAGTGTAACTACACGTAGAGTAGGGGAGCGAGAAACGTGATGCGCATATATTGTAATTCAGATGGTTAAATGATGAACAAGTCACGACCCCATTCTAAACAGGAATGGTTACGAAAGAAAAACGAAAAAAACTGTTGATGCTGTGTCGAGTGAAGCATAGACTGTGCAACAGTGTTTGACTGGATCAGACGATATATATATATATATATATATATATATATATATATATATATATATATATATATATATAGAAGAGGCCCATTAGATAGTCAAAAGGCAGTTTTGTCGAACACATATTCCGATATTTCTTCTTCAGGCTAGTATAATTATGTATCAATCAACACAAACAGACAGGCTATTGAAGTTGTTAAAAACGGGGTAAAATCAATGTTTAGAAGAGGTCAACCATCGCTATTGATCAGATCAATGTCTGGGCCTGCATGCAGTCCAACTGAGTAATGGTCATAGGTCGATCGGGTTAGGGTAACTGTAAAGCCTGAATGAACCGCTTCTGAACGCAAAGACTCGGTTCGTGTAGCCTAATTGCCATGGGCTCAGCGGCTTCTAGTATCCGTTTGCGCATATACCTCGATCGATTATCAGGGGCCTTGTAGATAATTTTGAAAGCGTCACCTGGATTGGGATTGTGCACGGTGTCTGCGAAGCGGGCAGCTATGGAGGAATTACATACTCTTCTAGTTCCAGCCGTTAGTTATGCGGGACGGTTCTCTTTCACCCTCTCGGATAAACACCTAGTCGTAAGACCAATGGAACCTGCACCACATGAACAAGTGAAGGAATAGATAGAATCTATTGGTGGCTCGCGAAAGTTGGGCGGATGCAGTGGATAACGGCCACGCACTTGACGTGCTTTTCCTCGACTCTTCGAAGGCATTTGACAAGGTACCCCGTTTGATGCTTGCGCAAAAGCTGACCTCCCAAGGGGTATCTAGCCGCGTCCTAGAGTGGGTGACTGCCTTCTTGGGGGTAGAGAACAGTGTGTAAGGGGAGGGCGTGGCCTATCGTTTAGGCAGTCTGTCCTCAGTGGCGTGCCGCAGAGCTCGGTCCTTGGACCGCTGTTGTTCTCTATCTACGTAAATGACCTACCCGCGGAGCTTGAGGTACCATCGCTGCTATTTGCTGATGACCTGAAGCTATGGAATACTGTTGATGTTCTTGGGAGTCACGAAGCTATTCAGCGAGTCTTGGATAAGCTTTGGGACTGGCCTACTTTAAAGTTACTGACCATAAATCAGGCAAAGTGCTCCGTTCTTCGAATTGGAGGAGGTTGTCCACCTGTGAAGTACTTGTTCGGTGGGGTCGAACTCCCCCGTGTATCTAGCCAGGTTTATCTAGGCGTCGTACACTCTTCGGCTTTACACTCCGGCGACAACTGGAAGAAGACCGCAAGCAGAGGTTTCCGCATGCTGCGGTTAACACAATGTTCTTTCGGAGTCTTGACGAGCGGCATCTTTACGAGACTGTTCTCGGCTTTCGTTAGGCCTCATCTGGAATACTGCGTCCAGACTTGTCCGCCCTGCCTAGTCCGGGACAAAATGGAGCTACAGAGGGTTTTACGGGTTTTACGTCACGCCGCCGAATCTGAACATCTCCGGAGGAAGTCTGTTTGAGCCGGCAGCCCTCAATCGATTCAAGCGTCGGATCTCGGGGCAGACTTCCGCTCCGTTTGGTGGACTCAGTGGGACGAGATAGGGTACACAACAGGGTGTACTGCATGCATGGATGGACAGCGGAGGTCAGTTGAATTGCGAGTGAAAGTGCACGACCCCGCGATCAAAACGCCTCTGCTGGTTGGTGATTGGAGACATACACTCAGCTCTACGTAGTACAAGTATCATTCGCACCTCACGCATGTCAGGCTGGCGTACGATGACGTAGTCGAGCACAGTGCTGGGGTCATGCAATCGGGTTTCTGAAGCGCAGGAGACGTCGATATCGAGGGACCCTAGGGTGCGCACTATGCCCGCTTGCTGTCCAATCTGCATGGGTGTCCGAACGTTGAAGCAGGCCAGACGGAACGAGGATCGAGGTCGAAAGACAGCCACAGTTTGAATTCCATGGTCCGCGGTGCAACCGAAATCGCAGCCAGATTTTTGAACACATGAATCGGGTAACGGAAAGTAAGGATTGTTAGCAAACAAACAATTGGCGTGTGATGAATTCGCGTGGATGTAAGAAGCAGAAACGGTAGCCGATGAGCAAATTGTAGAACAGTCCATAGTTTTGTGAGATAGCGTGATACTGCCCGGTTGCCCAAGCCGAAGTAGGCAGTTGACTTAGGTGACTCCACCCTGAGCCTAGGGCTAAATAGCCTAGCCACAAAGCAGCAGGGCGAATTAAGGGAATCGCGCCTATCGGGAGTCGCTAACGGAATGTACAGTTCATGTCTTTTGTTAGGTAGATCACCAAGCAGGGGCCCAATCCTCCCCATGAAATCAGCGCAATGCTGGACAATAATGCCCCACCGAGGTGGAACACAGTCGCCGAACACTTCGCTGGAACGGGGTACACTTGACCAACCCAGCCGGCACCACGAGGAGGTAGTTCGGCAAGCCAGCCAGACTGGCGAATGCTGATCGGGCTTTAGCGATGCGAACAGAAACTTCCTTGCTGATGGTGCCACCAGAAGAAACAAACCTCCCAGGGAAGACGAAACCATCTACCTGTTCAAGCTGAGCCTTAAAGGATGGGCACAGGAGCGGATGTGAGCCAAAACTGGAGTAGTACTTCGCTCTTCGATGGCGCGAAGCTCATGCCATGCTTAGACGCTTCAACCGCCAGACGATTCATAATGGGTTGTAAACTCTTTGGATCGTCACCAAGTAAGGTGAGATCATCAACATAGTTTAAGTCAGTGGCTCGATCACGCGGCAGAAACTCTAGGTGAAATTTTTGGAAACTTTATAGAGCTGTTGAAAAAACATCTTCGACTGCAATGTTGGAGAGGAATGGGGATACAGAGCAGCCCTGTCGTACACCGCTATTGACAGCGAATGGCGGGGAAAGCTTGCAGTTGACTCTCACCCTACCAGAGGTAAAGTATACATATGATGGAGGTATACTTCTGTGGCACCCCATACTTTAGCAAGCACCGTCATAAAGCAGGTCGATCAACGAAGTCAAACGCAGCACGTATATCTAGAAATGCAATAATTGTGAGTCTGTGGTAAATGCCGCAGTGTTCGAAGAGTTGGCGGAGTGTGAAAATTTGATCCACACATCCAAGGCCGGGACGGGAACCAGCTTGTTCTTCACGGTAAAAAGATTCACGTATTGGGGAGTCTACGAAGCAGTATGGATGCTAATAGTTTGCAGGCAACCGAAATAAGACTAATAAATCGATGATTTAAACACGAAGTGCCCGCTTCCGTCTTGGAAATCGGGGCACTAATTGACTCGTCCCATGAGGAAGGCACATTTTCTCCTTGTCAGATTTTTTGGGAAAAACAAGGTCAACTGGTTTGTGACCGTCACACCGCCGAATCTGAACATCTCCGGAGGAAGTCTGTTTGAGCCGGCAGCCCTCAATCGATTCAAGCGTCGGATCTCGGGGCAGACTTCCGCTCCGTTTGGTGGATTCAGTGGGACGAAATAGGGTACACAACAGGGTGTACTGCATGCATGGATGGACAGCGGAGGTCAGTTGAATTGCGAGTGAAAGTGCACGACCCCGCGATCAAAACGCCTCTGCTGGTTGGTGATTGGAGACATACACTCAGCTCTACGTAGTACAAGTGTCATTCGCACTTCACGCAGGCGTACGATGACGTAGTCGAGCAGGTGGGCGTGACCACTTCGTGAGTGCAGCATTCCCATTAAGTGTGAGCTGTGCGTTCGAGATCGTCAGGCAATGAGTGGCACACGGTGAAAACAGCGATTACCTGTTCCCACTGGTTGGGCCAATATATGCGTACCGATAATGTCTGTCCACATTGCAGCATCACGCGTAACGTGCGCGTTGAAATCACCTAGCAGAAATATTCGGTCGCTTCCCGGCGCAGACAGCAACACGGAGGATAGCTGAGTGTAGGATAAGAGGATAACACATGGTCGTACCGTACGTACTTATAATAATGACAAACTTACCTTTTCCGAGTCGTAGGTGAACCGACATAAGTCGCGCGCTGATGTCAGTGGGCTCACCCATCAGCTGACCATTGAGGAGATCGGATGATGTAAATCCGACCCTTGTTCACTTAGTGCTGAGGTGGCTTTCCCCGTCTAATAAAACGTACAGCTAGCACCAGTTCCATGCAACGCACATGGGTCAGCGAGCCGGGTCTCATTGAGCGCCGCAAAATGGATGTTGTAGCGCGCCAGTTCCATCGCGACCAGTGCAGTGTGTCGCTCTGGGAGCTCACTCGTATTCCGGTTGAGCAGTGTGCGCATGTTTCAGCATCCAATTTTGTGGTATTGCGCGAAGGCATGCAGTTGCGTTGGCGAACAACCGTATGGGTGCTGACGACCCGAATTGTAGGAAGTAATGGGTTAGGTAAAACATGGACGTACAGAGTAGGTGAAGGGGAATAAAGTAGGGAGGCGTCAGGAGTAGCATGTTTTATCCACCCCACTGTACGCAGCAAATAAGGCGACCCATTTCCTAAGGAGACTGCGCGACGCCCGATGCAGTATGG